GAAGTTTCAATGAAGTAGAAGAGATTGCAGCTGCTTCTGATTACTGGTATTGAACAACTGTTACAAATTGGCTCAATAGTTTAGCAGCGAGACCTTGCTTTAAAAAAAAAATCAAATTCCTACACTTATTAACCAACTCACCAAAAAAGTACTTGCATGAATACGACATTTTAGTTTCAGTGAACATTGTTGTGAATGTAGACTTGCTCAAGGTCTAAATTTTCTGCTGAAAGGCATGGGTGAAGGCCAATGTTGCAATTCCTTTCTGGAATTTCCACTGAAAAGAAGCAGTCATGCACTAAAGAAAGGACTTGGATTAAATAGTACACTTAGAAAAAACCACATCTAAACTCCACATCTAAATCAAGAAAACGCAGAGATAGTAGGAACTGCAGATGCTGGAGAATCTGAGATAACAAGGTGTAGAGCTGGATGAACACAGCAGGCCAAGCAGCATCAGAGGAGCAGGAAAGCTGACGTTTCGGGTCTGAACCCTTCTTCAGAAATGGGGGAAGGGAAAGGGGCTCTGAAATAAATAGAGAGAGGGGGAGGCAATGACTCTATCCACCTATCATCACCTCCCCCTCTCTCTATTTATTTCAGAGCCATCTTCCCCTCCCCCTTTTCTGAAGAAGGGTCCAGACCCAAAACGTCAGCCTTCCTGCTCCTCTGATGCTGCTTGGCCTGCTATGTTCATCCAGCTCTACACCTTGTTATCCAAGAAAATGCAGCCAGCTTCACCCAGGGAGTAGCAGATCCTAGAGACCAGCAAAATCCCACGTTCACTCCTCAGTTTATGACAAGTCCACGGATCTCCGAGTGCACTGCCTCCCAAACTTTTCCCTGCTCTGACCCTGATTTGACTCTTCAAAATGGACATGACCCCAGAGTGAGAGAGATGGGTGGTGAGAGGGAGAAGAAGCTTGAAATTAGTAAAGGTGGCGGGGGGGTGGGGGGGGGAGGGGAGCGCGCTGTTTTGAGATTAGTTTTGTTTTGAGCCACTATTTTTACAGGCTCTGACTCAGTCAGCGCAGTGTCCTTGGAGCTTGTTCACTTAGGCCACACTCGCTGAGCAATGGGAAAGAATAAGATTTGTGTTGTGCCTGGGGCCTTGGCTCAAGACCCAGAAGTGTTCATTCTGCAGACTGATGCCACACCTGTCACCAGGGAGTGAGCAGGCACAGGAGCTTGTGACCGCAGTTACCCATCCTGCATCCACACTGAGGGTGTCTACGACCTACAGATCGGCAACCGGATTGTTAGGAATTCTGCAGTTAGTCTGACCTGGAGGGAAAATCAATCATGGTACTTGCTACTGATGCCTATCTGATGGTGTCTCATGGAATGTTTGTGCCAATGATGGTGGGCACAGAGACAATCATCTATTCTTTGTGATGCTCCCCCAGTCCGATTGCCTTCTGATGCACAAGTCTCCCAAATTTCCAGCTCTTTGGGGTGAAGGAGGTGCAATTGTGGAGTAGTGATAATATATCAGCTGCAAATTTGGAGTGGGATTCTTTTTTGGTGAAAATGCATGTTATCAGAAGAGGAGTGATTGTGACATCTGCAAATGCAGTGATTCTGTAACTTGAACCCCGACTGCTGCAAACATGCACAATACATCAAAATCCAACCATCAAGGAAATGGCAGCCACAAATATTTAGAATGCCAGTTACTGAATTTACTGAAACATTGTCTATTTCAGGGTAGCTTTGGTTGAGGAAGGGTCACCGGACTGGAAACGTTAACTCTGTTTTCTCCTCCGCAGATGCTGCCAGATCTGCTGAGCTTTTCCAGCAACTTTGTTTTTGTTCCTAGCTTTGGTTGAACTAAGAGAGCAAGTTAATATTGTGGGAATATGCTCTTGCACCTGCCTGCTCTGCAAACCAGTGCAAACTGTCACCACCAAAAAGTTCTTGCCCTGAGGCCGGTGTCCCAGTTAGCAGCTGTACAGTTTTAACTGGACTTGGAGCTGCTTTATTCTTGCCCAAAAATTGCACTCTGCCAATATCATCTAATACCATTGCAGCTTGGCAGGAAACTCAAGCCTTTAGGTTCTATCCTCTACCATTACAAATAATGAATGCGCATTTGGACAAAGCACAGAGAGCATCTAGTGACCAAAGAACTTGTGTCGAAAAAAAATCACGTTTAAAATGTCCATTTTTTAAAGTCAAAACGTGAAAACTTTATTCATGAAGTTGCAATTGTGTACAAGAGGGAAATAAAGCACCTTCATGCACAGTGTTGGTCATTCTCCCAGGTATAGCACGAACTGTGAACTGTCAGATAGTTCTGGTGTTATTTCAGGAGTTGAGAGGGAGCAAAAGGATTGGATGACCGTGTGTATGTAAATCACTAAAACCTAGTGAACAACCACAGAAAGTAATTAAAATGGTTTCTGGAATTTTTGGATTTTTCTTCAAGGGATTGGAAGTCAAACATGAGAATGTGATTTTATAGAATCTTGGCCAGGCCACCATCTGGAATAGAATGTCATTTCTGTGGACTTGCCCCAGGAAGAGTACTTTAGACTTGGAGAGTATGCAGTGCACCAGAATGAATCGAAAGATAAATTGGGGTATTTTCCAGAAGTTGACGAATTAGATGCTGTAGCGAAGCAAGCTATGTTGAGTTCAAGTGGACAGATATAAAAAGCAATTTAGTAGATTTAAGAAGATTTGTCCTTTATCTCAAAGAACTTGGCATCCAAAGGGAAGGACGTTGTGCTGTGGTTTTCTTCTGCTCTGGTCATATCCCAACTGGAGTGGTGTGTTCAGTTTTGGGTACAGCACCTTAGGAAGGACAAATTGACCTTGATACAGGTACAGTCGCATTTCATTTGAATGATAGCAAGCCTTAATGGATTAAATGATGAGAATTGGTTGCATAAGCTTGACTTCTATTCCTTTGGGTTTAGATAGTATTGGGGTGATCTACTTGTGGGGCAGTATTTAAAGGAACTAAATAATTCCAAAGGGGAGATAAATTACCTGAAGTACATAACAATGGCACACGATGGTGGCGGCACGGTGGCTCAGTGGTTAGCACTGCTGCCTCACAGCGCCAGGGACTTGGGTTCGATTCCACCCTTGGGCGACTGTCTGTGTGGAGTTTGCACATTCTCCCTGTGCTTGCGTGGATTTTCTCCGGGTGCTCCGGTTTCGTCCCACAGTCTAAAGATGTGCAGGTTAGGTGAATTGGCTATGCTCAGTTGCCCACAGTGTCCAAAGATATGTAGGCTAGGGATATGCAGGATTACAGGGATAGGGTAGGGGGATGCCCTTCAGAGGGTCAGTGTGGACTCAATGGGTCAATCGTCCTGTTTCCACACCGTGGGGATTTTACGATAAACCAGCTTAAGCAAAATTTGCAGGATTCCTCCCTTAAAGGCTACCAGTGAACCAGTTGGTTTTATAAGCATTCATGTATCAGGTTGCAAACCTGCTGCACTCACTTTCATAGATGGCTGTGGTAGAATTTGAACTCAGCCACTGGGTTGTTCGTCCAATACCAGAACCAGTACACTGCCACAGCCACCTTTACTATAGTTGTAAGAATACCAGAATGTCATTTTTCCTTCTGTAAATCATTTGCAATCAGTTCTGCCTGTTTAGTCGCATGTTTGTTTACCCATTGAAAATCTGCAGTGTTGGCCTTCGACTGCCACAGATATTGGAAGAAAGCATCACAATGTTCGTATACAGTTACATTTAAAAACCGAAAGCACTGCGGATGCTGTAAATCAGGAAGAAAAACAAATTTGCAGGAAAAGCTCAGCAGGTTTGGCAGCATTTGTGAAGGAAAAAACAGAGTTAACGTTTCGTATCTGGTGACCCTTCCTCAGAACTGGTGGCTGGGAAAACATCAGTTTATTTACATTTACATTTACATTTAACCTGGGTGCCTACTTTCCATGAATGAATTTTTTTCCATGATGGCAGCTGCAACAAGGACTATTTTCAGGGCCAAGTACTACTGTACTAGAGAACAGGTGGGACTGGAACCCAGGCGTCCTGGATCAGAGCTAAGGACACCACCACTGTGCCACAGGAGCGCTCGAGATGATCAAGTACTCTGTGAAGCTTTTGTATCTAGGACCCTAATTGCTCAGTAGGTGCTTGTATGGCTACTGTTTTGATGGAGTTCAGCTTGTCGGACCTTTTCTGCTAGAACTACCCAAGTTGATGGGTTTGTTAAGAGGGCGTATGGTGTGTTGGCTTTCATTAGCAGGGAAATTGTTTGAGCTGTGAGGTTATGCTGCAGCTCTATAAAACCCTGGTTAGACCACACTTGGAATATTGTGTTCAGTTCTGGTCGCCTCATTATAGGAAGGATGTGGAAGCTTTAGAGAGGGTGCAGAGGAGATTTACCAGGATGCTGCCTGGACTGGAGGGCAGGTCTTATGAGGAAAGTTTGAGGGAGCTAGAGCTTTTCTCATTGGAGCAAAGAAGGATGAGAGGTGACTTGATAGAGGTGTACAAGATGATGAGAGGCATAGATAGAGTGGATAGCCAGAGACTTTTTCCCAGGGTGGAAATGACTATTACAAGGGGGCATAACTTTAAGGTGATTGGAGGAAGGTATAGGGGAGATGTCAGAGATAGATTCTTTACACAGAGAGTGGTGGGCGTGTGGAATGTGCTGCCGGTGATGTTAGTGGAGTCTGATACATTAGGGACATTTAAGCGACTTTTGGATAGGCACATGGAGGATAGTAAAATGTAGGGTATGCAGGGTAGTTTGATCTTAGAGTAGGATAACAGGTCGGCACAACATCGTGGGCCGAAGGGCCTGTACTGTGCTCTACTGTTCTATGTTCTAACTTTGTTCCACTGCTCCAGGATTGCTGGGCAGGGAAGGAGAATGCCGACTCACTAATCTAATTTGCGGCTTGTTGGTTTTGTACTCGCGTCCTCTAGTTCTGTGACTCATTCATGCTTTGTTTTTGATGGCTGCTGCATAGCCTATGTTCAAATGTGTTTCTTTACCACAACAGGACTGCAGCAGGTTCAAGGTAGAAGCTCATGGAGACTGAGAAACAGCCCTGACAGCAACACAGAGGACAATGAAAGAAGGGTACACAGAGAAAAGACTGTGATCACTGTCAATGATAATATTGTGAGGGTTCTTCATCATCTAGAAGAGGACATGCAGTCTGTGTTACAGAGACTCAGTACGCTGGAGGGCCTGACAACGTCGCAGGTATTGAAATGATTTCAGTATAGCCTCATATATTCTGTTTTTATTGTCAGTTTAACAACCTGGTTTCTAAGGAGGATTTTTAAGGTTTCACCTTAGTGCAAAAAAAAGGAAACTAATTAAAATGGGCCGACAAATCCAGAGAGAATATCATTGTTTTTTCTTTTAAATAAAAATGTTATTTTCGACATGGTTAAAATGTAAGAAAAGGAACAAGAAAAAAGTTTTGTTTTGAAAGATGGTCAAACTAAATTACAGTTAATGTACAGGACTTTGGTGAGGCCACTTTTAGAAAACTGCGTACAATTCTGATCGCCCGCCTATAGGAAGGATGTTGTTAAACTTGAGAGGGTGCAGAAGAGATTCACAAGGATGTTGCCAGGATTGGACAGTTTGAGTTATAGTGAGAGGCTGAGTAGACTGGGATTTTATTCCCTGGAGCATCGGAGGCTGAGGGGTGACCTTATAGAAGTTTATAAAATCGTAAGGGGCACAGATAGGGCGAATAGTCAGTGTCTTTTTTTCCAGAGTAGGGAGTCCAAAACTAGAAGACATAGGTTTAAGGTGAGAGGGGAAAGATTTACAAAGGACCAGAGGGGTAACTTGTTCACACAGAGGGTGGTGCGTAGGTGGAACAAGTTGCCAGAGGAACTGGTGGAGGTGCCCACAATTACAACATTTAAAAGGCATCTGGATGGGTATATGAATAGGAAGAGTTTAGAGGGATATGGGCCAAATGCTGGCAAATGGGACTATGTACGTTTAGGATATCTGGTTGGCATGGATGAGTTGGTCTGAAGGGTCTGTTTCCGTGCTGTATGACTCTGACTGTGTTAAAGACTGTCACACACCTTAAAGTAAAGGGGCTTACCGTGAAATCCTGCTAGCTCCTTGCTTTTTATAAAATGTGGTAACAATTTTTTTTTTTAAAGTTATTCGCTTGTGTGATGTGGGCATCACTAGCTGCACCTGTTTATTGCCCGTCCTAAAGCAGAATCTGTGTTAGCTTGCTGTCACTTGTCTCCCAGTATGATGGTGGGAGATGTGTTGTTAGAGATGACAGTGGGCAGCATTACCTCTGGGTGGTCATTGGTTGTGCCAGGTAAGGTTGAGTAACTCACCATCTCCAGAAAATATTGATGGCTTCAGAGATTAGATTGCTGGTTAGATGGGGAGTGGGATCATCAATGGAAGAAATGTGATCATGTTCTTGACTGGTAGAATTGGGCAGGGATGCCTGAGATCGAATGGAACTTGAGAATAAGTGATGCTTAAATGTTAAATAAGGATCATTTAGACAAGAACTGAGGATATAAGTGACATGGGGGGGCTTTTGCAGAAGTGTCCCTACCTCTGGACCAGAGGCCTGGTTTCAAGTCTTCCCCTGTCCCAAAGGTTGTTGAGAAAATATTAGTTAATGGCACAGGTGTCACTTGTGTGGATCTGGAAGGCCTGAGTTCAATCCCAGCAGCACCTTTCTGAATCACGCTTATTTTTTAAAAAATGACACAGAGGAAGTGTCCCCACCTCTGGGTCAGAAGGTCTGCATTCAAGCCCCCCATCGACCTGACCTGGAGATGTCCCACAACCTGCAGGTTAATTAAAATAATTATAAATATAGGGAACAAATAAGCAATGTTGTTGGAATTTGTGGTGTTTCATTCAAAATAAAGCTCGAACTGGAAAGCATACTCCTACACTCTGTCTCACCAACCTTTTAACCCCTGATGTTTAACAAACACATGGCAAATGAGCTAATCCTTGAATAAGCAACCAAGCCCAAAACCTTCAAAAATAGAAGAAGTCAATAAGTGAGCAACTGTGGAAAATCCAAATCACAACAGCAAAGTTCAGAGCATTGATTCACGAAGTATCATCTTCCATGATGAAAGAAAGAATATGGAGGACAATAGGAGCTTCGATGATAATACACAGGGGAATGGTTGCAATTTTGCAGTTAGTAAACAATCATTAAGTGTTTGAACTGAGTCAACCTTTTGATTGATTGTCTCGGTCTTCAGGGCACTAATCGTACAATAATGGTGTCACTGTATTTGCAGCCCTTGCTCAATAGCTAACCAAGTGTGAAAGACTGACATATCCTCCTGCATAACTAATGTGCTTCCAGCATTTTCTGAAGATCATTCCTTTCCACTTGAAAAACAACTTGAGAATTTCACTGGCTGTGACCCTATTCCAGATGAAACGCTAGTCTGGAGATACCAATGATGCTATCCTGTAAGCAATGTGCAAATCTGCAGATCATTTTTGATCAGAAAACAGTGGAAACAATGCCCTCAAATTCAGGAGGAAATAAGATTTTACTGACTGACCCAAAATATTGAATGTTTTTTGAATTGGAATATACTTAAAATGAGCTAAATGGAGTAAAAGACATAGTAAGAACTGCCGATGCTGGAGTCAGAGATGACAGTGTGGAACTGGAGAAGCACAGCAGGCCAGGCAGCATCAGAGAAGCAGGAAAGCTGACGTTTCGGGTCGGGACCCTTCTTCAGATTTTTCTTTCCTGTTCGTCTGATGCTGCCTGGCCTGCTGTGTTCCTCCAGCTCCACACTGTTATTAATGGAGTAAAATGTCTCTTTATGTAGAAGTGTTTTATCAGTAAAGTATTAAATCAGGTTTTTCTTGACAGCAAATTTATTACATCAATTTACCCCATTACTGAGATGTGAGGCTCTTTAGTGAAACTAGTTTTTACTAGTTTTAGAGCATGAAAGAGAGATTGAAGCTGTTTATGGGTCATGATCACCATGGGGATATTCATGGGCAGGGCAGCAGGATTTACTATATGTGGGTGATAAGGGTCCAATGTAGGTTTGTGGGCACTGGGTGAATGGGCTCACCAGGTTTGCTTAGGTTTCTTTCAGAATATATAATGACCAAAGTCCACAGGTTGACCTTCGTTTATATTGGCAGTTGTTGAGGCTGGACTCAGGCATCCTGGTGTCTCCCGGGGCAGAATTACCTGAAGATGTCAGGGTGCAGGTTAGCCATGTGAATAATCAGCAGGAGGCTGGCCTCTCCTACCACTTCCAGGGAAAGTGCACTGAGCCACAAGCCTTGTAGGCAAGTAGTGAGGATGTTAGCAGGCCTTTGCCTGGAATTAAGGCCCCATGGATGGAAGTCCTGCTGCGTGAGTGTCAGAGGTGGACAACCTTTCTGCTTAGCAATACCATGGAGGAGGCCGAGACAGCTGACAGAAGAGCACCCCCAGAGCCCTGGGACATAGAGGACCAGGGACATGTGGGCTGGAGAGTTTTTTTTGAGTTTGGAGTTGAAGTAGAGTAAGGGAGGGAATGGGAACATGGTAGCTAATGAAAAGGCATTGCACACCCCCTGAGCTGATGTTCATTCAGTCCCTTTTTTAATCGGACACTGATTGAGTTTGATTAAAGGACCCCTCCACACCCCCCCACTCCGCCTGCCCCATTCCAAGGTGACAAGCTGCCCAGGGGGTAGCAGCTGGCTTGCAGGCTATAGCAACAGACCTGGGTGAATCCCAGTGGCAGTGGGATGAGGTGCTTATGTGGTCATTACTTGGCGGAACATTGAATGTGGGCTTTCCCAGAGCCTAATTCTGAGGAAGGTGGGAAGGTGAAGGCGTTCGGTTTCTCCAGCAACCCAACATAATTGAGTGCCCTTCCCCGTCCAAGCTGACCACCACCAAGAGCAGATGATTTCATCCCCAGGCCAATGGAGCCAGATTCATTCGTGTAAGCACTGGGGGCTGGTTCACTGACAATGTGAACCCAGAATGCAGTCTACCAAAGGAACTCCAGATTGCAGCAACACCAACACTACTCTGAAGTCATCAATAAATAAATCCAACTGGTTCACTAATGTCCTTTAGGAAGGGAAACTGCCATCCTTATCTAGTCTGGTCTACATGTGACTCCAGACCTACAGCAAAGTGGTTGACTCTTAACTGCCCTCTGAGCAACTAGGGTTGGGCAATAAATGCTGCCTAATCAGTGATATCCTCATCCCAGCAATGAATAAAAAAAAAGAGTTTAGCCTCTATTTAGGAAATTTTTTGCTCAAGACAATATTGTTCACAGCAAGCCTGCTGGTACTTGAAGAAGCTACATAAATGTCTCAAAAATACAGCAAGGTAATTATTTAAGATTTGGGTTAAATAGTATTATTTGATATTGATGGAAAATAATGTCTAGATATTTGTTTATTAAGTGCTGGATGATTTTATTATTATTTTATCTCCAATGCTTCACCCACCCAGCATTGTAGCAGCAGTTAATGCCTAATTTTCCATAGTTGGAATATCTGTGGCAATTCCTCCTGTTTCCTCCCCAACCCATTCGCCACTGGAGTTTCCCAAGGATCTGTGCTCGATGTGTCTTCTGTTTCTCACATTTATGTCCCTGATTAAACAACCCCTCATCCCCAATCCAATTTTAAAAAACCCTACTTCTGCATCACTCTCTTGATCTCTTAGCTGCCCCTTAGACTGCCTATCTGACTTGTTTGGATAAGTCAAAATTCCCCACAAAAATGCTGTTCCTATGCTATTGAGGCTGCCTATCCTAATACGTGCTTATTTTTACCTCCATAATAAAAATCTCAGCACCATTGAAAGGCTTGAACATTCTTCTCTATGTCTTTATGTATAACAACCAAGTGTTCTCCTAGTGGCCTTGCCTGTTCCCCTCTCCCATCAACTCCACTCGTCCAAAGCCCTGCTACCTGAACTCTAAACCTGGTGAGCCCATTCACCCAGTGCCCACAAACCTACATTGGACCTTTTATCACCTACATGTACTTAATCCTGTTTTTCTGCCCATGAATATCCCCAATCTCTCTTTCGTGCTCTAATCAGGAAACCCCTGCCATAAGGCCCAAAGTTAACAGTCGCTTGCCTGAGAAAAGAGCAAGCCAGGACAAAGCAGGGACAGGAATGTATTTGGGGAGATCCAGAGTATCAGTTTTGACACCAGGAGGACTATTTCCTTTGTTCCCTGTTTCTA